AGTTGGTTCCTTGTGAAACATCGTTGAAATATTAGTATTTTAATAAAGCACGCTTTTAGATGTTTCAAAAAACTTTTAATAAGAGTAACTTTAACTCTACATATATGTTTCGGCTTGTTAGGCCTTTTTCAAGAGATTTTTAAGAACAAATCGTCTAACTACACTGTAACTATATATATATTTGCTATTGGGGTGGGTTCAGAGAGTTTACAATAGGAGTAATAAAAAATGTGTTTAGAAATCCTTGTTGGTCGTTAACATTATTTTCGTTTTTAACAGATTTTAGTATGTCTAACTGTTCAATGTAATTTAAGCGTCTACCTTTTGTTTCTCTGTGTAGTAAGTTAATTGAGTTTTCATTAATTTTGTGATTATTTACTATACAATGAGTTGCAAGACCAGAACTATGCTGGAGATTATTAATATACTTTACATGTTCTTTAATCCTTATATCTACATTTCTACCTGTTTGGCCTATGTACACGGCATCACAATCATTGCAATCCACCCTATATACACCCGACTTATTTTTGACATTAGTTTTGTCTTTATTATTTAATAAAATTTGACCTAAATTTCTTTTATTTACGTTAATAGTTTTACATCCTATTTATTGAGATTATTTGATATTTTGTTAGTTAAATTAGGAATGTAGTTTAAAGGTTGATAATTGTTATTGTCTTTAGAATTAGCGGATTAAAAATTTTTCATTAATATTTTGTTTTGTTTTTTCTTTAGCATATTATCAATAAGGGAACACTTATATCCATTGTTGATGGCGATCTGTTTAATAATATTTAACTCTTTTTTAAAATTCTCTGGGCTCAGTGGAAACATTACTAATCTATGAATTAAACTATGAAAGGGTGACATTTTGATTTGCCAGGATTGGTGTGATTGACTATGTATTACAGTGTCTGTGGTAGTGGGTTTTCTGTAAATATCAAATTGTAATCTATTAGACTGTTTTATAATTGTAACATCAAGAAAATTGATGGTATTAATACCTTTTTCAATAGTAAATTGTATTCTCGGGTTAATTGATTTTTTTATATTGTCAATCTGGTCGCAAAAATTAATAATATAATATGCCACAAAAGTATAATAATAATTATACTTTTGTGGCGTTTGAAAAAAATATATTTTATATTATGCTAATTTTTAAATAATCATTCGTCTTTTTATTCTTTCAGATACAAAATACTTAAATTAAAAAGTCTTATTAAAAGGATTTCAATCATACATTTTTATTAAAATGTGTTTCCTTTTATTTATTCAATATTAGTTAGTTTTTTTTTAAGTTTTTACAACTCCAAAATGTTGTTACGTCAGCCGCATCGGCTGCCGACCGGGTCTCAATAAATCTTTCTCGCGCTTATAGATACTCATAAGACTTTCTTATCGCGCTCATTTAAAATCTTTATTCGCGTCTGGCATGTATTAAATCGTCTGGCAATTAAATTAAATTCGTCTGGCAATTAACACATATTTTTTAATATCATCTAATAAACACGCTGTAAAAATTTTAGAATGCCTAAAGTATGTTTTCCAGGTATAATAATTAAACATATTTGGAATGGTCTGGTTACACTTTAAACCCAAAAAAAAAAGTCTCGCATACTTATATATAGGTTAAATAGATGCTAAAATTTAAGAATAAACAAATTTCAAGTTGCCTAAAGAATGTTTTTTGGATTTATTTTTTTGCAAATGTTATGGGTTGCGCAGTAGCAAAATACCCCCAACCCCCCAGCCAGACTCAGGATTCTGGGTTCACCAGTTAATAAACTATACATTTTTAGTTATTCTAGCTTGCCTAAAATATGTTCTCTAAATATGTTGTCAGCTCTTACGCTACGTGGTTTTGTCCTAATATTTTAGTATTTTAGTTTTTTGCTAGTGCAGTTGAATTATTGAAACTATAAAACACTCAGGTATGAGGTTTGTGTGATGTAACGCTGTTTCGGGTAGTACGAAATAAAGTGAAAAATAATTTAAACTAGGCGTTATGTTGTGTTGTGACAATTTCAAATGTTAATAAAATTGCCGAAAAAATATCAACGCGTAAAGGAGAGTGTAATTAGGGCGTTGTTGGGTGCAGTAATATTCAATAACTCAACTTTCCCGGATATTCAACTCTCCCGAAACAACATTGTATAGCTTCATAGTTTCTCACACCGATTTGATCAAAAGCAAAAATGGATTCAAGCAGTTCGAAGAAATAAGTGAGTAAACAAAGTGCTCCTTACATAATCAAAAACCTAAATAGACATATTACTATGAGAGGATAAAATATAATTTGAAATATTAATGGTATACTTTTTTTGATCAACTAGTGATTAAAAGTTTTATGAACATCTAAAATTATAATTATTTACCTTAAAAAAATTCGTTATAGCCGAAACAGCCCCAATTATGCCCCACTAGCAAAACCGGTGATTAAAACTATGCTCGCTACCGTTGAACTTATCTAAAAACTGTTTTTAACTGGAATAATAAATTATAATACAAGGTAGACCTTCCGAAAGATATCAAAATATTTACTTTTTTATATTTATTTTTAGAATTTTCACTAATATATATACTTCCTAACACTTTTAAAATAATTAAATATTTTTTTTCGTATACTCGCTATTTAAATCCGTGTATTTGTATATACTAGTTATTTGCGATATTCTCCGATGGTGGCAGCACCGGCGGAGAATGCACCAAGCTTATAAATAAATTTTCTAAGAGGTCTAAGAGTAATTTAAAAAAATTGAAGGGTTGAAACAAAGTGTTCGAAATCATCAAATTTATTAGAAAAAACAAAACATTTAAGATGTATATGTTTATATATTCTAAAAGTACATAAAATTTACTACACATTCTGAAATTTTTGGAATTTTAGGGCCATATTTACTATTTTTTTAAGAGCTCTGAAAACATGTCTTTTATATTGTTCAAATACGAATACCCCCGACTTTACATATAAAAAAAATGACTGTGTATGAATGACACTAACATAACCGAGATATGATATGGTTAATAGTTACTTCAATTAGAACAAAACTATGCGTGGTGTATAAATAGACGCATGTCGATAGCTAATAAATAGAAATTAATAATAATTAACAATTTTCTCCGAGAAGAATAATAGTCTTTCTGTGTTTTTTTCACGTCTGGTCTGGCTAGTGTTTATTATATACATTATATACGTTTAAATAATTCTTATTAACTTATTTACTATGCTCTAATTATTGTAATTAATGCGTTATTTATACAAATATATTCAAATCACATTGTTACTGTACAAATAGTTAGTTTTGTTGTTCCTTATTACACGATAATCTTTTTTTTTTAATAGATTAGATTTAAAAAAAAAGAAGAAATCAATGTTTATGTTGTTGTGTCTGTCATCAGTTAATTATTTATTCAAAGTTCTTTGTTGGAAGAGATTAAATTCTCGATGCTGAGCTTCCTTGATAACTTTATTTTATTAGAACGCCATTCAATATTAATTTTAATAACATTGTTCCTGCCCAAGCAGCATTTGGACGTCGGGACAACGTTGTGTCACGCGACCAAACGTCGGGGCGCAACGTCGACACAACCTCGTGCCAACCCTAGTCTGCACTAGTTTGGAGAATAATTTTTGGGTCGAAACGACGTTGGATACCTACGTTGGCTAGCAGCCTAATTTAGTACAAACTGCAACGTTGTTTAAAATCCTAATTCATAGAAATACAAAACTAATATGGCGTCTAAGTCGCGTTTTATCCTAAATTGGGATAATTATAGTAAAAATATTATTTTTATGATTTAGTTAGAGACATATGTCAGATGGCAGTGAAGGAAAACAAAACAAAAGTATTTAAGTGTGGAGGATGTTTGAAGATCATAATAATTGAAACACTTTAACCGACTCTGTAACTCGTTACCCAAGGCAAAAAAGTTAAACGCAAACAACTTTATTGATAAATGTATTGTTTCTACTTTGAAAAATACTAATGGGCCTTAAAATTAAAGAAGTTTTAAAAATTTTCTTGAATTTTTTTTTTTAGTAAAATGAGAATAATTTATTCGCAGTCGAAAAAATTGTTTCCGCGTGTTTTTTAGGAACGAAACATTTTCTTATTTAACAACATGGCGGCTTTCACTTTGTTGTTTTGGAGATTAAGATGGAGTAGTTCGAGTAGTCGCATACTGGACTAATAAAGTCGCAGTTCGGCCTTAACAGGTAGTATACTAGTCGCAAGATTGCCTAATTTGGTAATACTAGAGTCTAGCTTGTGCCGCCCTCTATAATCTAAATGAACGAGGGAGTGGATAAACTATCGGTAATATATGTCGATGTATATTTAAATTTAGTTTTATATGTACCTTTCTTATGTCCCATTTTAATTAAGTTTTTTTTATAAAATCAAAAACAGCACTGAACTGTCTGACTGAACAGAACAATGAAGTGAAAATTTAAGATTTAAGGTTATGGTTCAATACAGTTGCAAAAAGGTAGTGACTCGACGTCCTACCAACGTAAGAATAAGGAAATCTAAACAACGTTGGAATTAGTAAAACAAACGACGTTTGCATAACGTTGGAATAGGTCCTGAAACTGACGTCGGAAAACTCAATATTGCCCAACGTTGTAACTACGTTGTCCGAATCACCTAAAGATCACTTAAGCAAAAAAGGTTAGAAGACAACGTTTATTCGACGTCGCAGAAGCTTCCTACTTTGCTGTAGTACTAGTCCAACGTCGGCACAACGTTATAAAAACGTTTAAATTTATTTTAATACCCAAGGTAGGGAGCTAACTCTTTTTTGTAACTAATCCAACGTTGTGTTTAGTAAACATGTGGTTTGAGTCGCAAGTCGTGAAAATGCTACTTGGGTGGTTATATTTTTTTTGTTTAAATTAATATTTTTTTTTTAATTTCTTATATTTACTTTTTTTATTATTATTTTTATTATTTTTTCTTAGTAAACCTATGCTTGACATGTTCTTCGTTTTGTTCCAGGCGAGAGACCGTACAAGTGCCATCTACCGGATTGCGGCAGAGCCTTCATCCAGCTGTCAAACTTGCAACAGCACCTGCGCAATCACGATGCGCAAGTCGAGAGGGCGAAGAACAGGCCCTTCCACTGTAACATTTGCGGGAAAGGTTTTGCCACAGAGTCTAGCTTGCGAACGCATACGTCTAAAGTAAGCCATGTATGTATTACACTGAGTTATGTTTTATTTTTCGTCTTTTTTAGCACTTTAAATTTATGTTTACAGAGTTTACATTATGTTTAATACTGTTACTTGTAAAAACTATATAGTTCACATCAAATAAACTTTTAGTCACGTGATTAAGCTTGACAGGCACAGCGTTGCCTACATTTACATATTTTCTTTTAATCAAAATATTTTAGAAAACAAAAATAAATTAATTATAAATATATAAACTATATGATATGATGAAATATGATGTTCCTTACATTCTACACTTTTTAATGATTTTTTTTTCATTTTGATCTATGTTTTGTACCATCCTGTAGATCCAACATAATTGCAAACTTATGTAGGTATAGAAAAGGGAAATACATATTGTTTCAATATCAAAGTAATATATTTCGTCATAAACACTGTAAACGTAAATTTAAAACACATTTTTATTTTCTAGGTTATAATCTGTTTAAATTTGATTGCCTATAAAACGTTTTTTTTTTTAATAAATCACTGTTTTTTTAGAAAATTTTTGTTAATATTAAACGTAATCTTTTGTCTTAATACTATTTCTGACATTTTTAGATACGATTTAACAAAAATATTCTATTAGATATTTTCAAAATTATTTTAATTATCAAGGCAATCAAAACATATTTTTATTCACTTATATTTTAGTAGTATTACCTTTTTTTACACACTGTGATCTTTAATATTGTTTTTTTTTTCAGATTTATTTAATTTTTTTTTTTGTTCTTGTTCAGTTCATCGTTTTGATTAGTTTTAGTTCTAAGTGTACCTACACCATTGTAGTTTCAAACAAAACTCAACTGAAATTTGATTTAATACAAAATATTATATTATTTCTCTAGCTCTGTTAAGCCTAATTAAGAACCTCTAAATTAATGGTTTCACCAAAAAATATTACAATTAAAATTAATAGAATATCTTTCTCTACTAATTGAAAATTACTACCACTACGTTTCACTAATTTTGACATTCTTTAAATTTTGAAACTGTCTAATCAAAATTTATTTTAAATACTATCAACGTAATTATTATTCATTGGTAAAAATTTCAGTTGAGTCACTCTGTATATGTATATTAGTTTAATCAGTTTGAATAATTATAATTCGAAGAAATTCGCAAGGGTGGTATATAATCTTTTTGATCTACATAACTATTATTTAGCAGGATATGTAGTTGTGATAATGTGTTGAAACTCCGTTTTGTACCACTTAATCTTATCGAACCATCTGATCGCGAATAATCTTAATTTTTAGCCAGTTAGACGGAAAGTTATGTAAATAAAGGTGGACCCCACGAAAATTCGAGACGTTTGCGAATTTATTCTGCTTTTTTTCGGCTAGTTGATGGGTTATTATAGGCAGATGGAATTTAGTATAGTTTGATGAAGGGTCTCTGCTATTAAAGGAATATGTTAATAAAAAAAATAGAAAGCCTTAGGAGTATCATAATAATAATACAATAATACACTTATTAGTGTATAAATGTATTAGAGAGTGCATCAAGATTTTTTTTTTAATTGTCGCGAAAATATAGTGAATTTCTTTTTTCCCCATTTAAATAACACGGGGAATTTTTTTTGGAAATTTTATTATATTGCGGTCTAACAAATAAGCGTATTGCAAAAATCAATACATGCTCTTGTAGGAAATTGAACGGTCTTCAAAAAAGGTCTGACGTGATTTTTCATTTAATCTACTCGTTTGAAAGTTATTGAAGGTTAAAGTTAACTTCAAATCGTATATGATCACTTCCCCATTTTTTATATTTTATCGCGAAATAAAATTACAATAATTATTGATTATCGCTAATTACAATAATTAGAAATCATCCTGATTATCAATATTGTCATTTATTTTTAACTAGGCCTGTTTTTTTGTTACTTGCCTGGCACTCAATACTTTTAGTTTTAATGTAATTTTGCTTCCTACAGTGAAATACAAACGAACCCATGACTGCCATATTGATGAAAAGCTGCCGTACGCAAGGGACAATATAGTTTTTAGATAATATTTTTTTATTAACTAAATCTGCTACACTTTCAATAACCTTCAAACGAGTCGATTAAATGAAGAATCATATCCGACTTTTTTTATAAGCCGGAGCCATCGACAACTGAGACAGTTTTTGAAATTTGAATATACCGCGTGGAAATTGAAAATCGGACAATTTGGTGAAGGAATCTTATAAATAGTTAGTTTGTTGTGTGTTATAAGTTAGTAATTGTGTATAAAGTGAGAAAATAAATTCGTTAAGTATTTTATCGTGAGTTTTAATTAGTGGACCCACGGAATCCGTAACAATATTAATATTAAGAGTTCAAATTTTACCAGATTTTTTTCATCATCGCGAAAAATCACCCCGATGTTTTTCCTAACAATCTTGCACTACCGTTAAATAATAAGAAAAACACATATGTTTCTTGCCATTTTTAGACGTTTTACATATTGCATATACTATATACTCCGTTACGCTTTACAGTTTTGTACAGATCAAAAACCAACTGTAATTTCTCATAGAACACTCATTATTTCAACGCTTTCCTCCCCCCTGTACTTAATCTTCCCCGTTTTGAGCTCCCCATCGGTTGCTTTCATCGAAATTATAATTATGAAGGATGATAGAGAAAAGAAGGGTTAAAAATTGACCTACATGAGTCACAGAGGAATCACAGGCGATGTAAGACTATGGGAATATTGTAAAAATTAAATACCTACTCTTGTTCAATCATTTTAATAGCCAATAGTCTACTTTAAAATTTAATTAAACAAAAACTTCACATAAACTAGGTGGAAAAAATTGTAAACAATTTATATTTCCAATTACAAGATACCCTGCGGCATTATTATGGTGTATAAGCAACAATTAATCGAAACTGGTAATAAATATTCATAGATTTGCACAAGAATTTCTGTCATGTCAGGTTAGAGCCCAGAAAATTATTACTAAATACTTTTGTGTAGCTGGTTTTTCTTTCAAAAACGCAGAAAAAAAACAAAAATAAAACGATTGTTATTTAAAACGACTTGTTTGAGAGAATTACGACACTTGAATTTTGCCGTAGAGTGATAAGAAATAAAGAAAAAGTTAAAGGCAAACAGTGAGCCAATGTAGGAAAAGTAAAAGTAGCAACAAATCGCTAGGATAGTGCAGAATCCACTAACTGGGCCAGAACCGTTATGTTTCCCAAATGGAAACCAGCTTAAAAATGGAACTCAAGAACCTGGAGGATTACATCCGTAGCTTGGAATGGGAATCCTCCAAAGGTCCTCCAAAGACACTCGAAAAAATTTCCCAGAACTTACGACCGAGAAAAATGAAGGATTTTCCTTGATTTGAGTAAGAATAATCTTCGGATTGTCACGGGGTTCCCTGGACACTGTTCGTCAAGGAACACCTCAATCGATTGAAGCTCAAAAACACCGGCGAATGCAGATTCTGCGGGGAAAATGGTGAAACACCGGAACACATTATCACTAAATGCAATTGATATCGAAGATGAAGAAATAACCTGAACTAACCTAATTTTCGAGTGAATTTCTTGAACGGAGCCTTAAAAACCCTTCATATTCCTTCAGCTTCGCAAAAAATTCCGGATCTTGTGAAAAATCACCAAATTTCTTGTATTTTACCTATTTTATAATTATGAGAAACTTTTTAGAAACTTATTTTTGGTAATTCTTGGACAGCGATGTATTTTATATTATAACACGATCAAAAATGCTTTAATAGATACTCGACATCAGTATTATAAAGTATGTTTCAAAAAATTCACTGCTTACAATGATTGCTTGAACCGAGAATAAATTAACCGTGCATGACACCATGATCAACTGACTATGATGTTTTCCGTTTACCTTTTTTTTTTCTTTTCAACATCAAGAACTTTGATTTAAGCGGCCCATACATTATCAAACAAATTGCGCAACGCAGGCTGCTGCGCAACGAGTCGCCAATGTATGGCCCTGTTTGATGCGTTGCGCAATTGTTTGATAAGTTTCAAGAACGTTTGAATTCTTCTGTGCAACGGGACTGTTTGCGCAATGCGTTGTGTAGTGTGTAGTGTATGTGTGTTTTGCGCTTCGTTGTGCAATATTTTAGTTGCCCGCCGGTTTTTAGCGGGATATCGCTTGTTTCTCGAACAATGCATAATTTTTAACAAAAAGTTTGACCAAAATGTTACCAAGTGTATGGGTGATGATGGAGTTGTACAACGCAACGTTGCGCAATTTGTTTGATAATGTATGGGCCGCTTTAGTTATGGTATGTGTGTAATAAGATATGTCGAAAGATAAAAATGTATCTATTAATTTTTAGTTAAATGTTAAAATCTTTTGAATTGCGGAATTTTTGACAGCAACGTTGCTCTAAACTGAGCATCCTTAATTAAACACCGTTAAAGTGAAAAAAAATAGATTTAGAAAAAACAATAAATACTCCTACTATATACTTTAACAATTTTTGTTGTGCAAAACCGCCAGAAAAATTAATATTGTCTTCTTTTTGGATAAAAATCCTTCAGCCCTTCAGTAGACAAAATTTTACTGTAAAATCCTTCATATTGAAGGAAATTCTTCAATTCTGACAACACTGATCTATACAGGGTGGTCCGAACTGTATTCCGGAAACTTCGGCAGCATACGGTGTAAATAAAAATAAGTAAAAGTTCGTATAAATGTATATCCTAAAATGCTTACTTTCGGAGATACAGGGTGTAGAAGTTTTATTTTTATTTCGATATTTTCCAAATAATTTCTGAAATAACATCAATATTTGGATGAAAATTAGTGTCTGGAAGTTTTTTAAGGCATGAGAAATTTAATTTTGATGTCAATATGACTCATATTTTTAGGAGGCGCCACCTATATGTGTTTTAATTATTTTGAAAAGTAATAACTTTTTGTCCGTACCTGTATAAAACTACTGGGTGAAAAAATATACATTTCCGTGATTTTTTACGTAAAAAATGTCTCTTG